ATTACTTTACATGCGGTGCCTTAAGCACTGATCCAGTCCACTAAAGTTGGCCTGAAACATTGTCCACAGTCTGAGTACTGGGCCTGGGAAAAGCAGTTCTGGATTGCTCTGTTCTGCTCCGGTGTATGACCATGGAGGGCAGGCATGCAGGGCTGGCTCATCAGGTTCTCCTGCTCCACCAGCCGTCACAGCACCTCTTATCTCAGCCGTCGATGCCACGCTCACTTGATGTCTCAGTTCCGGAGCAGAGACGCTCCAGCTGCTATCTGGGAAGGCTCTGGCCCCAAAAATATTTAGTTAGCAGCCATTCAGTTAAGTGGAATTGACTTTTTATCGGCTTCCCTCTGTACGTCTGCCACCAGCGAAGGCTGTTTCCTCCTTCCCCCTTCTCGTCCTGTCAGTCCGCTCCGCATTCCTATCGGCAGCCGTTAGCTCTGATCAATACTAACCACTGTGTAACAGCTCACGCATGGCTGCCTTGGTTTGCATCGATCAGCCCCTTCCAACAGGTACCCAGCTATTCGAGGCAGTGACTTGAGATAAACACCTACTTTTACTTCAGGCTCATTCATTCCGGGTGTTTCAAGGAGACCTGGTGCCCTTCTCCAGAGATTTGCCAAGAGCAGACTCGCAGCAACTTCTGTCCTGCTCAAGATGATTTGTGACCCATCCCACCCCTTCTGACACGCAGACTCTAAAAACAATACCATACAAGCACTTCCAAAGAATCTAACCTGGGAATGACACCTTGGATTGCTTGTGTTAGGAGAAATCAGTGGTTTTGTAATTAAGAATGTGTGCATTGATGAGCCACAGGGTGGGGATGACCAGCTGGGCATTCACGACTGCCCCACCACAGCTCCTCACTGGAGGACCACTTCTGTCGCAGCTGGGGGTCTGGGCACTGTATCCCCATGAGCCCCATGGGGATGCAGCATCCCTGACCTTCAGCAGAGACAGCCCTGATCTGGCACTGGGCACCGTCTGCAGCTCCTGCAGGGCTGGTCAGGCCATGGGCACTTACAGGAGGAGGCTTCTTGTGCCAAGGGTACTGCTGAGAAACTTCTCATACAGCAAACACTCCTCATACAGCGACATCCTCACATGTCAGAGTCTTTTGCTGAATCTTAAAGTACCTATTTTTCAGGATGGCACCTTCAGGCCATCTGTCCTATTCGGGTGCCATAACAGAACAGGAGATAACGGACTATGAACATGGGCAGGAGGAATCTCTGCAAAACTGACTGGCCACCAGCAGTGTGCTAGCAGTCTTACTTGCTGCTGTCCCCAAATCTGCCAGCACAGATGTGCTCCCCCCAGGCTCCTGCCCCAGACCCCACTCACAGCGCTGGTCCTTGGGCTGCAAGAGGGGAGAGGGTCCCACAGAGACACAAGCACCTCTGCCAGAAGTGCAGCCCCAGCTCCAACCCGACAGGAAAATGCCAGTGGATCAGACCTGTCCAGCCTGGAAAGCCTCTGGAGAGGTTAGAGAGGCCTTTCCTGGTTGGTTTGTAGCAGTGCTGTTTCAGAAGGGCCGCAGGGCTGCCACAGCAGCTACAAACCTCCCAGTGAAATGAGTGTTTATTATTATAGGTTTGATACCATTCCCAAAAGGCCCTAATCAACAAGTAATAAGGCCTCGAGAGAGCAATTAGAAACCTGAACTTTAACTCCCTTATAACCACGGTGCAGGAAGCGACTTCTGCTCTGGTTTGGGGTTTGCAGCCTGGTATATGAGCAAGCGGGAAGTACCAAAAACCTGAAATACAGAATAACTGCAGCCAAGTATTTGAACAACGAGGTACAAGGTCCGTTTCTGTGGCAGGTAAATATGTGCCTGGCAAAAAGCATAATGGTTTGGGAGGAATCCGTGCCCAAATATGCACTATCTATCACATCTGTGTGTTTTCAATGCTTCTTCCCAGCTTTAGGCAAGCACTGAGGGTGTTCAGTGCCTGTACACATGTAGCATCTGACCCCCTTAAAAAAAAAATTACCTCAGTTTTCCTGCTTGTGAAATAACAACAATATCTGCCTGAAGGCAACACCAGCCCTTGAGATGTGGGTTTGCTCAGAACTTGTTTTGAATACTTCGGACGGGCCACTTCAGACAGGAACTGCACATTGAGTAATTCTTGCCATAGAAAGTCACGTGGCTACTGGAAAGCAAAAAATTGCATAAGAGCCTGTCCGCGTAGCACAGCTGTGTCAGGGAGTGTTGGCCAAGAGGGCTTGTTCTCCGCCAGCCTGCCTGGAGCAGGGAGGGAGCACTTGACTTTCCATGGAGCTGTGGCAGCGCCGGCACACACCCACAGCTGGGATCCTCCTGGTCCTTCAAACTCAGGAGGGGCATTCTTCAAAAGTGTTACTTTTCTTTTTTTTCTTCCCTAAATACTAAATGTTTGAAGTCCATGCTCCAGTTCCCTCAGGAAGTTATATCAAGGCAGCAGGCACTGGCAGCAGGCACTTGGCTCAGCATGACCGTGACTGGAGTTACCTGTGGCTACACATGATTCTTGCACCCACAGGTATAACCTGGTGAGGTGAGGTCCTTCTCTCTGTTAGAGGTGGAACTACACACTTTCCACTCAGACTTCCAGTGGGAGTGCTGGCGATGCCACCACGGTCCTGTCCTGAGCCTGGGATGCCGTGGCTGGGAGGAGGAAGGGCTACATCCCTGCCAGCTGTGATGCCTGTAAAGAGAGCAGAGCTGAGCAAGGCAGGCCCAGGACCCTGAAGATTGAGGTGAACTTAATATATCCCTGCCTTAAGAAATTTCAGGTCTCAAAAGCTTCATTTGATGTATAACTGGAGCCAGCAGAGGGAGTGAAATGCAGGGACGCCGTAGTGTCCATGGAAAAAAGAGCTGCTGGGCTTTGATCCAGGTGCAGCTGGTTCAAACAACACGTCTCAGAACCCAAAATGTGGGTGCACAAGCTCAGCCCTGGGCCACAGGTAACACAGATATGGATTAACAAAGGCAGGTGATCACTTGTAGGAGTGAAGGGTTGTCTCCTGCATCATTATCAATGGAAAAATAAACGCTCTTGGGGCTAACACTGTTTCCAGTATGAAGAAGGAAACATACAGTGGAACTCAACCTTTCAAATAATCCTTGTTCTGAGGGGTCTGTATTCTGTCCCCATGAGCAGGTTCACTTTATGTTCAGTTGTTCTGACACTGCTCACATGGTCCTGAGAGTGACCATGTAAAGTCCTGAGGAGAAGCCTAAAACCAAGTGTGCTGATGTTGCTCCCTTCTTGTCTTGCGCCTCTAAAATGTCCTGGTCTTGGCATTATCTTGAGCACTAAATGTTACAGACATGCTCACAAACAGCTTCTTGCTGATTTCTTAGTTAATTTCTTCAAAAATAGCAATTTTGCAAGTGGATTAGTTCTTCAGCATCCACTTAGGATTTTTTTTAGACTCATCTTTAATGCGTCTTCGCAGACACAGATAGTTTCCCCTTTTGACTGAGTGGGCCATCTTTGTTCAGCATTTGATTGGAAGAGATAGGAGGTGATCTTTATTAAACTCTTTAGTAAATGTGTGAGCTTCCTCCTGGCTGCCTTTGAAGGAGAACTTAGAAGAGTCTTTGAATCTGTGTTTATACACCAGTTTTCAAAGAAATATTTCTTTTAGCAAAATGCAAAATTGTAACAAGTTGGTAACCTTAATAATTGCATTGAATACTGCAGAATTAGCTTAAAATAAATTTTTCCTTCTTGAAATGAGATTACATTTGTGCCTGGATCAAGCAACTCTGCACCAGTCTTGAACTCCTTAAAGATGAAAATCAGAATAACCACTGCAATACTGAAAAGGCAAAATGAGAACAGAATGGCAATTGGCCAGTGTTTATGAATCACAGAATATGATCATGAAATCACAAGAATAACCACCAAAAGGTAAATAAATTACCCAGCCTACCACTTATTTTCATGTGCAGTTTGACACAAAAGCTGAAGCCATGAATGATTTATACCTGTTTTAACAATAATACTCATTTTCCTGAAAGATGGTCAGCACTCAGGCTGCTGTGGGCACTGTGCCAGTTATTGAAAGGTTAATGTCTCAGCAGCAATACATTAAATTATGAATTATACCAGTCCCAAAATGGAAGGTTATTAGCTTGGTATGTTTAATTAGCCCGGCTTGAACTTTGCCATCTGCAAGCACTGCCCATCACTAATGCATGGCCACGTGGGATAGGAGGGGTGGGAGTGGGACACCAGGAGCAGGTGACCTTCCCCTCCGGGTCAGCCCAGCTCACCTGCGGAGCTCAGAAACCCTGAGCAGGGCCCAGGGCTCGGCCACGCGCTCAGCTCCGATGGTCCAGCACTTCCTGCCGCGCAAAGCACATGGACACACCAGGAGAACACACCTGGCTTCCTCCTCTGCCCTCGGGGCCAGTTACCTGCCAGAGCATTGCAGTGATGTCTGTAACTTCTCAGGAGAGTTGCGACCTAGTAACCCCAGACCCTCCTGTGAGAGGAGAAGGGAGATGGGTGAAGGCCCAACACGTACCTGAGCCATGGATGTGCCAGAGATGCTTCTCCAGGGAGGGTCCGTGGTCCTGGCAGGAGTTGGAAGGAGGCTTGGGGAGAGCGGCGGCTGCGGGTCAGCGCTCGGGGATGTGGGAAGCAACAGCCTGCCGTGGTTTTATTTGCACAGCATCTCCTGCCAATAACTGCACAAGGCTACAATATTTAGCTTTTCAGTAAATATTTAAATTTTACTTCTTTGCTTATTTATTTTTTTTTAAGAACAAACAGTAAATTCTGTTGATTTTTTATTAGTTAAGATGACATGATGCTTTGGAAACATGATGCACTAAGTATTGCCATAAGTGATTACTCCCCATGACTGCAAGGGTGCTCTTGGGGGGCCATGTGCTAAAACCTGAGTCGGAACCATGCCCTGGAAAGTACAAACAAGGGGCAAGAACCAAAGTTGTAAGGGGCCAAACACAGACATATTTTTAATTTTTCTTTTTGTAGATAGTATAACTTTGCCAAGGAGGAAAGGAATTTGGATAGAGTTAATATCCAGCCTGTGCAGCTTCCACGAGCTGGACACTGAAATGAAGAGAGAGTTTATTCATTCCCATCCCGACTCAGCCCACCAGAATTAAAAGGCATTTTAACCTGCAAGGGAGATTGGGTCAGATACTTCCCAACCTGCCTATAGAGAAGGCTGTTTGATTCCTCTGGCTACCAAGTCTCCCCATTTCTGTGTTGGATGTGAAGAGTAAAGAAAGAGTCTGGCGGGAATCAGGAGGCATCTAAGCATCAGAGACAGCACCAGGTAGAGACTCAATTCCTTTTTCCTGATATTCTTACAGTTTGCAGTATATACATTATTTCTTCTCCTGCCCTTGAGCTTTTGCTGATTCCCTCTTCTCCATGTCGGTAAAACCTCTGTACTTGTAGTTCTGGAGCAGGTGGCATGGTTGGAATATCGGAGCAATACGTATTAGAGTGAAACCTACAGACAGAAATAGAAAGCAAATGGAAGATGAATTGATCAGGGGAAAGGCAGAGGATGGAGGGGATAAAGTAAAGGCAGAGAGAGACACAAGTAATACCTTGCCTGTGTGCTATGGTAATTTATTATTTTTATATGGTGCCCAGGGTGTACAGTATCTGTTTTACTGAACAAATAGAAAAAAGAGTTCTCAGCCTCAAACAGCCAACATATTAATTTACTGTGTGACAACCTAACGAAACGAGCAACCAGGCCAGTGTGACAAGGAATAATTTAGTGCTTGTGGAGCATGAGTAACTTTACTATTGGTATCCTTGCCATGTGTATGGCATCCGATGGATGTCTCTTGGGTTTGTAATAACTTACTGTGGAAGAAAAGTTTCCCTTTCAGTGGAAATCTGAGTGAGAGGGTGTCTGAGGGCATGGACCAGGCTTGTACCTGGAGCAGCGAAGAGGCTGCCAGATCAGTACACTGGGAGGGAAAGAGTGAGGACCTGACCCCCAGCCTGGAATGGGGGGAGCACCACAAACCCCTGACCAGGGGTGTGGGGATGTGTGCAGTGGGCCCAGACATGGGGAGAGCAAAGGAAAGGACTCAGGAGGGAAAGCTGGAGTGTTTGCTCTGAGCCATCTCAAGCTGGAGTTTCTAAGGAGCCATCCAGCCGGGGCAGCAAGGAGGTGACCTGAACCAACACGCTCCAATGGGAGAGGTTCCAGTGCAAACCTGCCGTGACCGCGGAACCGGGGAAGCAAGAGCAGAGTTGTTTTCCAACACAGTTATTGCCACTTCAATTGCAGTTTTATTCCAAAAGCAAATTCCAAAGTTTTATGTCCATAAAGGTTTTGACATAAACAAGAAAGAAGTCAGGAAAGTGGTATGTACTGTGTAAACACTCCCACTTTATAATTAATGCTGGAGATCGGGGAGCAGGAATGGCTGTGCATGTGTGGTCATTCAGATTTACTGTTGCTCTGATTAAAACCTAGTTGGGCAATAATTTTATGCCCAGGTAGGGGCAGGAGGAGAGCAGGATGCCCCCAAGCAACCCATAAATAGTGTGGTGAAGACAAAGTGTTTATTACTTAGCTTCACAAAGGCTCCATAAGTGCTCTCCCAGGGTACCTATACTCGTACCCCAGATGCCAATTCTGCAAATTAGCATTATTTCTCAAAATCCTGTGTAAACAGAAGTCATTTAAATACTTGATTTCATCAGACGGAGTCACCCATAGAAACACCAGTCACTTTCTCTCCCTTTTGTGGGTGAGCAGAGGTTTTCCCTGCCTGGGTGTTCATTTCTCTTGGAATACTTTTACTGATGGCAAAGTCTGGCAGGGTCTGGGATCCACAGAGAACACATTCTGCAGGATTCTGTCCCACGTCAGTGCCCCATGCTGGTGTGAAAGCAACTATGGGGCATAAACTTTCCTGTTTATCACTGAAGTGTGCTATTTTGAATCTTCTGTTAGCAGTTTAAATTACTATGCCAAAAGTGGTTTCATAGCTGAGATGCACAGGGAATTACAGGGATTTGAGATCTTGTCAAAAGAGCATTGGGTTGTCCCTTTTTTGTAATGAGAGATGCCAACAGTGAGTTCAGCTCAGGCTTTGCTGATGGACTCTTGTTTTGTCATTGGGTGTCCTGCCACTAGCAAGATGTTCAAATTTTAGAAACTCGCAAAATTATTTTAATCCGTTTTTGTATGAGATTTCATGTAGAAACAGGTACCTTAGTTAACAGGGTAACAGTAAAAACAGAGTGAGAAAAACCCATAAAATCACTTTTACATGACAAAATAATTTCCCTAGATATAATATTACATATCAAAAGGTGAATATTTCAGGATTTTCCAGTGTTGCAAGTGTTGCATTTTAAGGATGCCTGTCTCTCCTGCTCAGAGGCATAAACATTTAATACTGAATTTTGCAGGACACTGGACTTTAACATCCTTATGGTAGATAAGTTGCCACTGACCAGGAGGACAGCACAAGGAGGTGTTGCATTTGCTGGGAGGGAGAAAGCACTTTTCTAGCAGTTAATTTCTTTTTTAATCATATTGTTTGGACCTGCTGATGTTTTGAATTGTGAGAGTTAATTCCAGAGAAATAGGGAAGGAAAAAAAGGGCAGGTGATGGTGATCAGTGGGGCACTGTGAAAGGACATGGTTTCATGGTGTTCTGGAAACACACCAGGAGGAATTACACCAACATCCGATCTCACATGCTCTGCTCCATCACAGCGAGTCAGTATTGTACAGACTGGGAAAATAGGACAAAAAGTGGGGAGAGTGAGCTCTGAAGTCCATTTCTGGTAACTTCCAGCTTACCCCATGTCCCACTTGGGCTGGTCCTTCAGCACAGACAGTGAGTCTGTGGCAGAGCTAGCAACAGAATCCAGGCCCCTGTTCCAACTCCCAGATCCTCGAGAGTATTTTTAGGCACTTAATGCCATTAATTTTATACTCTTTTTGGCCAAGGATCTTAGAAACAAGATCATGCTTCCTCCTGAAATAATTTTTGAAATCCTACTTGTGCACTCTTGAACAGCTTTTTTTCAGGGATCGTGTACAGTTTAGCCCTATTTAGGAATAAATGGGCTTAAAAATTAGTTTTGGGAAGAGTTTTGCATGGACTCTGCTTTTGTGCAGCCTCGAAGTGTGAATATGGATGGAGAGGAAACGGTGCAGAGTCTTTGTGTTCTGCAGGGCAAACGGTACCTATCTGTGAGGGGCTTTGGCAGCGGCCAGGGAGGGCTTGGGCAGCTCACACTGGCGTGTTAAAACTGACTGAAGAGGTGGAAAAAAATTTCTACGTCTACAGGTTTCTCCCCACAATCATATTTTTCGTTGTGCTAACTCAGCAAACCCAGTTAAGTCCTGCTCCTGCATCCTATCTATTATTAATTAATTGATTTCCTATAAGCTCATTATTTAGTTCACTGTGAGTCCATTGCAGTGTGCTCAGCTCTGCAGACAGCGGAGCAGTTCCTGTCACAAAGCACCAACACATCGAAAAGGCCGGGTCAGGGGAGGTTGAGATTGGACATTGAGGAAGTGTTGGACAAAGCTCTCAGGCACATGGTGGGATTCTTGGGATTGTCCTGTACAGGGCCAGGAGTTGGACTCGATATTCCTTGTTGGTCCCTTCCAACTCAGGATATTCTGTGATTCAGTGATTAGGAAAAACTTCTTCATTGAATGGGTTGTCAGGCACTGGCACAGGCTGCCCAGGGCAGTGGTGGAGTCATCAGCCCCGGCAGAATTTAACAGACGTGTGGATGTGGCACTTGGGGACATGGGTTAGTGGTGTCTTCGGCAGTGCTGGTGGAATGGCTGGACTCAATCTTAGAGGGCTTTTCCAACCCAAATGACTCTGATTCTACAAGGTGAGAGAGTAGCTCCCCCATGGCACAGCCACTCTTCAGTGAGCAGATGAGGAGAGTGTTTTTCAGTGACTCCTCTGTTGCTACTGCAGGAATGGGTGGTCTAGAGGGGGATTTGGGGGACTGGTCACAGGGGCCACCACCATGGGGGACAGGGACCCTGTGTGGGAGGAGTGCAGCCACCCCGGGGTGAGCATGGTTAGAAGGGTCTCTGTGTGGTGGTGCTGCAGCAGGCACGGGTCTGCTCCAGGTGTTGTGGGGCTCCTCTCCCCTGCTCAGTCAGGCTGGGGTGGTAAACGTGCTTATTGCAGCGCTAATGTCCTGCAAGTGGGATCCCACCTCCAGGTATATTAGAGTAATGAGTTCACACCTAACTAATGGAGACTTAATAGAGTTACTAATAGGCTGCCTTTTCCCCCCACGGTTTATGACCCCGCGGCCGGGGCTGTCAGGGGAAGGAGAGGTGAGAGACTGTGTCAGCCCCAGCTCGGCCCCCGGCCTGCGCCTGGCCCGGCAGCATTTCCAGGGACATCGTCTCTCCACCTTTCTGCAAGGAAAAATAAACAGTTTGGGGCTCCTGTGTCTTTATTAAACATTTCCTTTAAGCTGCATACTTTGGCTCCCTGCCCAAATGCACGAAGAAAGCGTCCACAGAGCAGCTCTGCCACGGGCGGCTGGGGTGAGCAACCCCCGGAGGGGCGAGCACCTGCGCCGCTGGCTGTGGCCACCGTGTGCCCAGGGCCACGGGCCATCCGGGCCTGCCAGAGAGCCCGATGTGACCAGCCAGGCTCGAGCACCGCTAGCGCCCAAGAGCGGCCCTGGGGAGGAGGGTGCAGGCAGTGAGGAGCGGGCAGCATGGTGGCCCCCGAGCATCGGGCTGCGACGCGGGAGCCAGGTGGGTGGGCAGGCGGCAGCGCCGTGGCACCGTGTGTGCCCAGGGCCATGGGTGAGGGGGCCGAGCTGCGGATGGCAGGGGCAGGGGCTGCCGGGCGGGGAGGGCAGAACAGCCGCGGGGCTGAACCTGGGCACCGTAGGCGTGTGCTGCACCCAGCGTGGGCACAGGGGGAAAATGGGCAGTGTCGTCACGGTGTGGGGCCACCATCTGCATGGTGGGGCCACCATTCCCGCGACGGGGCCACCATCCCCATGGCAGGGCCACCACCCCCGTGACGGTGCCACCATCCGCTCGGCGGGGCCGGGCCGGGCCGAGCGGACAGGTCTGTGCGCTGCCCCGGAGCTGCGGCCCCGCGGCGGGCGAGGCTCGGCCGGCGGCGGGAGGGAGCGAGGGAGGGGGCGCGGCGGTGATGTCAGCGCTGCCTCCGGCCGGGCGTTCCAGGTAAACAGCCGGGAACAGCCGGGGAAGGCGGCGGGGCGGGCCGGGCCGGACGAGCCGCCCGTAACCCCTTCGCGCCCGCGGCCGCCGCGCCGCTGCCCCAGGCCCGGCGGTGGCGCAGGGCCGGGGCTCGCCCGTGTCACCGGGGGGCTCCCGGCGTGGGCAGCGCCCGGCAGAGCCCCGGGGAGCACGGGGTGCTCCCCGGCCAAGGGACCCCACCGCTCCCGAGACTGGGACAAGGCCAGAGCCGGGCGCTGGTGGCCGTCACAGGAGCTCATGCAGCATCCCCAGCAGCTGAGCCCCCCCAGCTCGGCAGAGGCCAAGAATATCCTTAGTTTGCTGTTCCAGAAGTGTGCCTTCTCTGTGACGCAGCCCAGCAGTTAAATTAGTAACTCCAATGAAACCTATCAGTGCTGCTTTGAGATGAGGTTTCTAAATCCCCAGTCATCCCAAACAGCGTGTGGATAGAGCCACCCTGGAACTTGGCCCTTCGGTCCCCTCCCTCAGCATCCATCTCGACAGAAGGGATGCGCAGCTCTGTGCAAGCTCTGCCCAGGAACGGGCAGATGCCCAGCATCTGGATCTTCCCCAGACAGGACAGGGTATTTTTTTCAGACATTGTCCTGTATAATACTGTGCATCATCTCTATGTCTGTCCTGTCTGGAACAGCCAAGAGTAACTGCAAGGAGCTGAGGAAAACCCCCTGAGAGGCATTGCTGATGGCCAGGTGCCTGCTTCTCTCTGCTCAGCACTCCACTTTCCCCCCAGAAAACAAAGCTGCCGTCATATGAGTGCCCATAAAACGCAAGGCATCCTGAGTGCAGAGATTAGTGGTAATTTTACAAGGACTCAAATAACGCTGGTCTGCAGGGTGCAGCACTGCCTTGAAAGGGAACAGCAGACATTTCCCCTGGAAGCAAGTTTCCTCTTTAGAGCAGTTTACGGCCAAGGTGCAGTGTCAGATTGTGGCACAAATACACTGTCAGCCTTTGGGTTGGAAGACGGACATTTGATACCTCTTTCTGCTGCTGAAACGCGCTGCTCAGACCCGACTCCCAGCTCGGTTATTTTTTGAAGCATTATGTAATTGGATTGCATGGTCAGTAGTGCTTCCTTAACAAGCCTTTCAGCAAACCCTCTGCCTGCCACAGCCAATCCTCAACCCTTACATGCACACTTACTCACGCAGGCTCAATCTGGAGTAAACTCGCTGCTAAATACAGTTAGAAAACAGACAAAACCAGGCTGGGAATAGATCATCCACTCCCTGCGCTACGTGAGCCGTGGTTTAGCCAAGCTCTGGGTGCTGTCGGCGTCTCCCGGCCAAGGGGTCACCACTCCCTCCTCTGCCGTGCCTCTCCCTACTGGGGTAAAAAAACTGCTCTTTGGAGTATGGATGAGCAACTGAACCCAGGGCTGGTACTGCTGTCCCCGTCTGCTCTTGCCCTGCCGTGACAGCCTTGAGCTTTGGGGACCAGCTTTGGGAAACCTCTCTGACGGCACTCAGGCCCAGAGTGACATCTAGGCCTTTATGCCAGGTTTCGGTGTAAGCTGAAGGGCTGAATTAGGAACCGAGGCTCCAGACACATCCCCGGGCCAGGCTGGGCACCATTCCCACAGCAGGGCCTGGCCGGCTCGGCCCTTCTTGGTGTTTTCCAGGATCGTCCCTCTCCTCTGGCCGCTGTCAGCCCGCAGGTTATGGCTCTGCTGACTCATAGCTTCCTGTTTGTGATTGCTGACTGGTGGCAGCAGTTGCAGAAGCAATAAGACATATTAAAAAGTGTGAACTTCCACTGGGACCAGGAGATACAATTAGGGCCGTGCCAAGAAATACACTGCAGCAAGCTGCTGTTGAAAGGGATGCGGAGCACTGCAGCCCCCTGGTCCCTTGCTGCAGGAAGTAGGAAAATGAACATCACTGGCCTTTTATCATCTCTGAACCCAAATAAAAATTGTGTTTGACTTCTGAAGCTCACTCTGGCTCTTTTCCATGCTCCTCCTCAAAGCCTTTGATCCAGCCTTCCTGTCTGGGTCTCCTCTACCTGCTGCTGCTGAGACGTAGGGATCCATGTTCTGTGCTTTCACCTAAGACTGATTTCCACGAAAAGCCTGCATGAGCCTGTGTAAAGGGGCTGCTTTAGAAGGCGTGCACAATGTAATGTTATTTCCATTCTTTTTTAATGGGAAATATCTCTGGGGAGAAGCATGAAAGTATATGGAGAAGGTGCTCTTTGATCATTAAGATCTAAATGTAGCATCCAAACTGCGTGTCTGTTTCTTCATATTATGCTGAAATTCATCATAAAGTGCTGATCCTGGGTGGGCATTTTCCTGTTTCTCCTTCCTCGACTTGAGCATTTGGAAGCATTGCCACCAGTTTCATCTCCAGCCCTAGTGAGGATTGCCTCCAAAACTCTCTCTCCATCCTGTTGTTACTATATATATATATATACACATATATATATATATATCAGCCTTTCAATTTGTTTTTCAGTTCTATTTTTAGCATTATTGTCAAAATGTACATTCTGGTTATTCAGCTGAGGACAGGAGGTGGAGAACGGCATTCTATGGACTGTGTGTCACTGGAGGATGGAGCATGTGCTGAGGCTGGTTTTTGATGGATTGAAGCTACAGTAGTATGCAGCTAAGAAAAAAACCTTCACTTTCATACTGCCATTGGACTGCCTTTTTTTTTTTTAACCCTGTGACAGCCACAAGGCTGAGAACTGGCACAGAGAACACAAATTAAGGGAGGAAAAAAACCCACCCCAGAACCTTAGTTATTTCAACAAATACCAAAAGTGGATTGAGAGTGGATGAAGAGGAGGAGGAGGCAATAGTGAACACACAACACGGTTCAAGCTGGCAAGGAGCCCTTTCTTGAAGAATGTAAGTTTAACCTTTAGCATTCAAGTGTCTGGGCTTAAGTATCATTATGAGCAATACTTTCCTCCAGCACAGCCTCTCCTGCCTGGAGGAGGGTTCTGTGCAACCTCATCCATTTTCCCCTTTCCTGAGTATAAAAATATGTATTTCTGGCTGCATATGCTCAGCCAAGTCCCTTCTGGTGGCAAAGCCTCTGGGCACAGTGCGGGTGGCCCTGGACAGGCCCAGGTGAGGATCTGCCCTGTTCAAGGGGACTGTGGAGGCTCTGCCATGGCTCTGGCCTGATGGAAGCATGTGCTTTGGGGTTCACTGGCTGAATTGAGGTTATAGATTTTGTGCCCTGGACTCACAAGTGGTGCTGGCTGGGGTGGGGGGTCCCTGCCAGGGTGCTGCCTACAGCCAGCCTGTGCCCAGGCCTCAGGCTGCCCAGCTCGGGCAGAGCTGCAGCGGGTACCTTCCACTTGTTGTGGCCACAGGAGGAAAGGGGATCTGCTGGCAAATTGCTTTTGGGAGAACCGAACTGAAATGAGGAGGGGGGAGGGATGGGCCTGGTGTTGTCATTTTCGTCATCACCCCCCCCCAATGCTAACCTCACCTTTTGATGGAGGCACATAGAAAAAAATTAGAGAGACAGCAGCAGACAAACATCAGACCTGGCTGTGGACAGGCTGGATGTGGCCCCCCCCCCCCAAATCATCTCCAGCTGTAAAACACTTCAGGGCTGATACAAACCACACGCAGCCCAGCCATAACCCAATCTGCAAAGCTGCATTCCAATAAAAAATGCAGCATGGACCTAAAAGAAACAGTGCCCAGGATTCCTGCTGGGCTGGGTGCTGGGATAGGGGTGACCCCTCAGCCCCAGCTGGGGGCTGCTGTGGGCAGGGGGGACAGTGGAGCCTCCCTAGCCCCCGCCACAGCTCCCAGCACAGCCCTCCCAGGGCACAAATCAAAGTGGCTGTGGCGCTGGCCGGGAGGGCTGGGGGCAGCCGTGGGGTGCGTCGCGCTGCAATCACAGCCGGGCCCCCGTTCCAATAAGCACAGCTCGCGTCGCCGCAAATGTCAGATGTGCTTATGTTAAATACAGGTAATATCATGGCGTGTGGCTGAGAGCGTGATTCCTGCAGATACCTTGTCTGATGAATTTTGCATCTCATGTTTGTGATTTTTCCGTGCAAAGTAGTACAGGTTTAGAGGAATAAGAGCAGATATTTACAAAGAGATAACGATGAACTGTTTGATTAACTGCAGCAAAGATGCTATGTCAGATCCGATTGCTTGCTGGTTACAACTCAGGGTTGGGGAACGTAGTTACTATATAGTAAGTACAGCTGGTGCTGGTGCTTAACTTAGTGAATAATTTGATGCAGGTGTTCCTGCAAATCTGCAGCTTAATTCTGAAATAAGTCGGAGGGGAAGAAGGCGGATGGACTGTTTTCCAAGGAGCGCTTGGTACCTGGTTTGTGCTGAGATGAGAGGTTTGCTATGCTGTCACTGCTCCTGGCCCACAGTGGGGAGTGAGCACAGGATGTGCCAGCCCTGGACCGGGGTCCCTGCACTATCGGCTCCGCCTGACAGACCCAGACTGGCGCCCAAAACAAGCTAGGTTGTCTTAGTCTCCCTACTGACACACTTTGAATGCTGTGGAATCGGAATGTAATCCAGAATTCCTCTCAGTGCTGAAAACATTTTTTTTCTTTCTAATTCTGTGGGAACTGTAATTTTATTTTGTAACTTATTTCCCTCTTTTTTTCCCTTTAAGATGGTTCTCAAACATTTATTGTGGGATTTTTCATTTAAAATAGTTTTCTAGGGAAATTGCTGTGACAGTGATTTAATTGTTTAATTAAAATCTGACATTGATGACAACATAAATACAATAGGCATGAGGTGATACAGGCATTAAACAAGTGCAATTGTGGAATACATCCATAGAGTACTCCAAGCACAGGGAACAGCTCACAAAGAAACGATGTTCAATATTTATCAGGTTAGTGACTCCTAATTAAATGCCAAGACTTTTTTCTTCATTTCTCTCAAAAAGCCAAGAAACATATAGATGTATTCCAAGTGTTTATTTCCATGGCAAACACATCCACTCCTCTTGTGTTATGGCCTGCAAAACAAGCAAATGCACATTACAAGCCTGCTGGCTGACTAAGGAGTGTTTACTCAGCCTGGCTGCAGCAGCCTCGCCAGAGGTTTGGAGACAGCTGGAATAGCCCACAGAGGTCCCGTCAATCCCACTGCCTAGAGCACAATGTCTTTTAATAATCAGGTAAACCCCCAGAAATAAATTGAAGACAAAAGAACAAACGTCCCTTTGAACATCCCCTCCAGCCCAAACCTCCCCAAATCCTACAGCATTTCTTCTAGAGAAATGCACTCCCCCCTCCAGCATCCCCACTCGTGTCAGCAATAAGGGTGGCAGCCCCAGCATTAACCAAGGGGAACATGCCGCCAGAAGAAATTCCTGCTGTCTGGCCAGAATTGCTCAGCAATGTGGCTCTTCAGCCCTGCTGCATTTCTGCATCCCAACAATGACCACGCTGCTGTTGGAATATCCCTTACCATGCCTCTTGCTGGGCGTCTCTAAATGGTATCAGCTCACTCCTGCAGCTCGGCCAGCCCTGTGCAATCCGTCACCGCCGATCGCCTGCCCTTTCCCCTTTCCAAACCTGGAATAAACGCATCTGCTCCAGCTTGATTCCCCTCAGTCTTCCCCCCATCTCCTGCTCAACTCCACACAAACAAACTTTCCAAAGGAAAAGCTAGCTTACCTGGCCAGTGCTTTGGGCATAAAGTCATACAAACTGATCAAGGCAGACATCCCAACTCCAGCACGGGGATTTGATTGCAAATTTCCATTGCAAAGGAGCAGAGGGAACTGGAAATCTGACAAATGCCTTCAAATTGACCTGTGTTTCCACAATGCACGCTGTGTTTAAAATGAATGGCAGACTTTATCATTTGGAGCTCCTTCAAGGACTCTGGCCTTCCATGCTTTGTTCTGATTCTTCAGACACATTTCCAAGAAGCACAGAGCTGTGGAAGTGGATATTACGGAGATTTTTTCTAAGCTAGATCTCCCCTCTACCACCAATAATTTTTAAAGCCTGAATTTAAAAAGATAGCCTGGAAATTTATTTTTTTTTTTACTATCCCCATACATCAGCCCCTTGTGCACCGTCGGCCTCCGGCATCGCAAAGCCTTGGCCCGGTCCCCCCGTGCCAGGCGGCGAGCAAGGGAATATGCTTGTGGCTCCCTAAAAATTCGACCGAGTCAAGTGCTGTCACCACGGCCCCATGCAAATCTGACCCACCCCAGCCTCAGGGAGCTGCTCCCGAGCCCCCTGGCAGCCAGGTCGTGTCTCCAGGGGAGAACCCAGGAAACTGGAGCTGCTCACCCCTGTTTTACATGTCAGAGATAACAACCATCTTTGCCGAGAGTCCTGTCCAGAAAGCCATACGCGCTGCCTCAGAAAAACATTTTGCTTCAAAGTTGTTCCTCTTAATTTGTATACATTTCTACAAATAATAACTTTAAAGCACCGCTATTCGTTCCATCTGTTCAAAATAACGGAAATTAAACTACAATTCTATGCGCAAATACATCAGATATACCATGAGACAAAAAAACGGGTTGATCTAATAATTCAGCTGTGTCTTTAACAAGTTTCCTATGGGAAAAATCAGTCTTACTTTCCCTGCAGATCTGATACTGAGAGCTTCTTTCTGCTAAGCACATTAAAAGCTATTTGAACCCAAAATCCCATCTATGCGTGTGCAGAGATACATGTATAGAAACAAGAGGCACCCGCACTATTGCAGATGAGGCTGTATCAAGATTTCTAATTAAAGCAAGGGAAGCCCCTTCTTGTATTTTAGCAACCAGATTATCTTTTTGTCTAGAACAAAGAAATCTTATGGAAAGCAAATTTTCTAGAGGAGACACGCATGCACATACATGTAATCATACCTAACAATTTCTGTACGAATTATCCCTTAATTCCTTGGCTGCATTTCGGTATTTGCGTAGTGGTTTTATCCGCTGGTCCTGCGGCCGTCACTTGCTCCTTCCCTTCTTTTCACACACAGCCTCCCCTCACCACCTCTTTTTGCACCTCGGAAAACTGGGAACTCTCCCGTTCCCCAGCCTCCAGACGGCTGCATCCAGGACGAGGGGCAAATCTCTGCCATCCGCTCATCTGGCTGTTTCCCTTCCCAGCTTCAGCTCCTGCCTTGCCAGGAGTGGAGGGAAGATGTCCTAGGACTTGACCCCAGGGCAGAGCCTGCTCGGGCTGGACCAGCTCCCAGGAGGGCGGGGGGCCGCAGGGCGCGCGCCCCTCTTCCCGCTTAACCTCTCCGCTCCCCTGAGCTGGCGCCTGCTGCCCTCCTCCCTCCCGGGGCAGTCGGGCTCACCCCGGGAGCGTGACGGGGAATGCCGGAGCAGCGAGGGGCTGTCGCAGGAGGGCTCCGCGCAGCGCGGCCAGAGGAGCAGCAGGATCGCCGAGCAGGGGGATGTTTGGTTTGTGTTAACTACCCAGACAGATGCACTCCGGCATGTTTGCCTTTATGGGATCCATATGTTGTCATGGGAAATTAGAGGACAGCAGCACACAGCCAGAATTCACGATGCAAGCACAGAGACAACATCCATGGCTCCAGCCCGCGCCCGCACACGTCCCTGCGGAGGTGCCTATTTCTGGAGCATCCACAGTTGCTCCTTTGCTCCCCAACTTCCCCACACGTTTCCTTTTGCTTTGCTCTGCAAAAAATGTGGCCGCAGGCAGCACCCACTCGCAGCCTGGGCCACTGGATCCACAGCCTCTGGAGAAAAGAGGCACTTCTAAGTTATCCCAAGTGCTAAAGACAAGGGTTACTTTATTCTCATCTCAACTTCATCCTCAACCCACACTTGGTTCATGTTCAGCAAACAGTTACAAATTACACGCACCTTCTCAGACAGCGCACTGAGCAGCCCTGAAAAATTCCGCTTCCCCCAGGGCTCCGTGGTTTGGGGGTTAGTTGGTTTTTCTTTTTTTTTTTTTTTTGCTTGGCATTTGTTTTTGTTAGGGTTTGGTTTTAGGAGTTTTTTGGGTTTTTTTTTTGTTTTGTTTTTTTTTTAAAGGCAAGTACATTAACAATTATTCTTCCATAAAGCCAGCTAGACGTATATCAAGCAGGGACTGACAGATTTTTAAGGGCAGCTTTTAAAGGCAAACTGGTCTCATACTGGAGTCAATCCAACCACCAGGACTCACACACAGCACACCGGGATCACCAGGTACACCAGGGCTGCAGGTACAACATCCACAGAACTGTGGCACCTACCAAACCCTAAGTCTTAAAACCTGTGACTATCTCTCAAATGCAAGACACTTCCCTCAGTGCATCAACAGTACAGTCAAATTCCTAATCACCCATCCTCTTCCTTCACTCCCATCCCACTTAAAGGGACTTGTCAAAATTCCAAATGACAACCCCCACATTAAGAAATAGGGATAGCTCAAGACATTTCATTAAAATATTTACTAACAAACATGCAGTTTATTACCTTGCAGTATAAAATACATCTACATTATGGTTCTCCCAAATGGAAAAACTGACCGCAACTGCATTCCTTGTTCAGAGCTATGAAACAAACCCGGAAGTTAGTTATTTATGTTATTATGAAAATAAAGAAAAAAATTTTTAAAAAATGAAGAAAAAAAGAAAAAGCTTCTTTAGATTTTCAAGACAGATTATTTAATTCAGCTGCATTTCTGCTAGTAATAAAATAGCCTCTTACAGAAAGATGAAAAAAACATATTCCTGAAGCCTGGATAGAGGCTTGTTACTGGTTCACCTCCTCCTAAAATTCAAATTCCACGTTCCCAGCAATCATCTACATTTTTTGCTAGAGCTAGAATGGGGAGGGAAAAGCTGCTGGAAATAAAAATTTTAAATAATAATCGCAGATGGACCCGAACAGAAAGTGAAAAGCATTACCGTAAGGCTAGAAAAATATTTATTTAATCAAAGCAGAGGTTCTGGTGGGACTGGAGGAATGCTGCATCCTTTCCTAAAAAAAAAAAAAAAAAAAAAAAGAAAAAAAGGAAAGAAAAAAAAAGAAAAAAAAAGAAAAAAGGGTGGAAAAAAGAGGAGGGGGTGGGGGGAGAACAGAGAAATCACTACACAACAACGAGCAGGGCACAGCCGCCTCCTGGAGTTCCCCATTGTCCGGGGCTATAGAGAGCCCCAGAATGGCATTAAACTCACAAAAGGCACATTGTGCGGGGGACAAAAAAAGCCCCTTCTTCTACAATAACTTTTAGCTTCTTATTTTTAGAAAATGACAAAGCTGTTGCCAGCGATGGCTGGTGAAACCTGTAGCCCGGCTCCCAGCGCGGCTGGCCGCGGCCGCATTGATCCGCCGGCCCGCTCGGAGCGGCGGCCGCCAAGTTTGAACGGGGCCGGGCCGCGCCGCAGGGATGCTGCGGGGATGCTGCGGGCGGCGGCTGCGGGGCCGGCGCGCAAAGTTGCGCTCGCTGCCGGCCGCAACTTTCCCGGCTGCTCCCGGGGAAACTTCGGCGGCGGCGGCGGGGGTCGTCCCGTCCCAGCCCGGCCCGGCCCTGCTCGGGGCGGCGCGGGCCCCACCCGGGGTGCGGGGGCAGGTGGCCCCGCGGAGGTCCCGCCGCCGCGGAGCGGTGCGGAGCCGCCGGCCGGCCCCGCGCCCCCTGCCCTGCCCGGCAGGGCGCTGCGCGGGCAGGGCGCTGCGCGGGGCCGGGCCCCCCCGCCGCGGGCTGGGGGCCGGCCGCTTGCCCCAAGTTTCGGTGCGGCGCCGCCGCCGCCGCCGCGCTCCCCCCGCCCGCTCCTGCGCGCTCGCTCCCTCCCCCGCCGCCTGGGCTGAATCTTATTGATCCAGAAGGTGGCTAATTAGCCCTTCCCGTCGTGCCTGGGTAATGAGGCACATGCGCACTGCACTAATCAGCCATTTTTTGCAGGAAACTAATTAGCAGAATAAAGATCCAAAGAGTTTTTTTTCTTCCCAATCATCAGATCTGAGTCCGGGCGCTTCCTGCTCCGGCGACCGCCAGCCCCGCCGCCCGCTCCGCTCCGCGCCCGCCGCCCGCTCCGCTCCGCGCCCGCCGCTCCGCCCCGACCCGCCGCCGCCGCCGCCGCTGCTGCTGCCGCCGCCCGCGGCCCCCTCTCTCCGGGGGGCTGCAAACTCCCCGACAACGATGCTGCTGCTGGGCAGCGGCGGCGGCGGCGGCGGCTCTCGCTCGGCTCCGGCTGCTGCCCCTGGCTCCCGCTGCTGCTGCCCCGGGCCCCTCCGCGGAGCCCCGCGCTCCTGCCGCCGCAGCCGCCGCAGCCTGCATGGGATCTGTAGCCCCCGCGCCGCCGCCCGGGATTAAAAGCGCCGCCGCCGCCGGAGCAGCGATCGCGTAAGTGGCAACTTTTCTGCCCTGTCCCCCGCTCGGGCTCCTCCTGCTCGGGGCGCCCGGGCTGCTTTGCATGGGGCTGGTCCGGCCCCCCCTCCCGCCCGCTCCCACCCACCGCCCCGGATCCCCCAGCAAACTTTGTGCCGCTCGCCGTCCCGGAGCCCCGCCGCCGCCGCCGGGGACGCGCAGGTGCCGGCGCCGCGGGGGCCGCTGAGCGCCCGCGGACCCCCCCGCCCCGCCCGCCGGCCATGGCCGCGGGGCGCGCAGCGGGCGCGGAGCGGAGCGGGCGCGGCGCCCGCCCGGCCGCTTTGTGCACGGCGAGGCCGGCGGCGGGGGCCCGGCCCCGGCCCCGCGCGGAGCCCGCGCCCCCCGGGACCCCGCCGGGCCGCGGCCGCTCCGGCGGCCCTCGGTCCCCGCTGCCGCTCCGCGCCGGGGACGCGCTGGAAAACAAAGGGGCGAAGAAAGTGCCGAAAACTGCCCCGGCGGTGACGGGCCCGGCCCCGCGGAGCCCCGCACCCCGCGGCCCGCACGGCCTGGCCACGCACAGTAACGGCGGTTCTTGTTCCCCGCGGGCGGCTCGGTGCGGGAGCGCGGCGGGGGCGGGCGGCACCGCAGGCCGAGCCCGCTCGGGGCCAGGGTTAATGACTCGGGGCTGCAACGCCCGGCGCTTATCGCAGTTACGTGAAACGCGGGTCTCTGTCGGTCCCCGCCGGTCCCCGGGACCCGCCGCGCCCGGGCTCTCGCTGCCGCACGCACCCTCCGCGGGGAGCGTGTGTGTGTGCCCTGGCTGTGCACGGCGTGCGGGGGTGCCACGCACACGCGGGATTCATACTGTGAATTATTTATAATTTAGGTTGCGTTTGTTTGTGTCTTTAGTTGTTTGGGTTTTTTTGTTAAATTGTCCCCACCTTTTCTAAAACACCAACCAAACAAAAAAAAAATTGATTTCTAGCAAGATCTGTTTCTCCCTCCCGCTGTGCTCGGGGCTGCTCTCGGTGTGTCCTGGACTCTGTAACGCGGAGTCCCCTCCGTGCCTGCTGTCTTTCTCCTTTTCTCGCTCCTGTTTAATATGGAGCAATTTTCTGGAGGCTCGGTGACTCCCTCCTTAGGGTCACATTGAGTTCGAATCCGACTGAAGGTGCAGGAATCCTGCAACGGGGGAAATAAGAGAATAGAGAGAATGGGGTCAAGTTGGCTGCTTAGAGGCCAAAACTCCCATAGCTGCCTTTAAAAATATATGTATATTTGGCTTTCCTTACCATATTACGGATTGCAGCTTCCCTTTTCAGGTATTTTCCTTACAGCCTAAAGCCCTTGCTTCCTTTTGCCTCCCCCCCCCCCCACACACACCCCCGTTAGGGGAGAAGTGGGGGGAGGAGAGAAAATAAAAGGAAAAGAAATGGGGGGGGGAGAGGGGAAAAAATAAAACCCATTGAGTTTAGGCAAATAAGGTTTGGTCTCCGTATCCTATTACAAAGCACTTTGAATATGCAAGACATCACACAAGACCAGTTATTCCAGTTACGACAAACTTAAAAAGAGAAAAAAGCGAGGCATGTTTAGATTGTAATTTGTTAGAGCAAGATTCATATTTAAAATTCTGTCTTAAATTTTTTTTTTTCAGCCTTGCGTTGTATCCAGCCTTTTTCTGATGTCTGGGTTGTTGGGGTTTTTTTGCATTATTATTATTATTATTATTAAAATCTTTCCATCAAGTTTAGGAAGACCGCTGCGAGCAACACATTTTCTGTATTTTTGTTCCTGTATCTCGGAGGAGAGTTGGCAGGGATTCTGTGGTTTGCAGTTACACAATATGTTATCATGTTTTTAATCACTAAATCATTGCAGTGGTTATAGATTTACAGTCTTAGGGTATTACTGAGCGGTGCAGCGCAGCCCGTGTGTGCGGGGACATACAAGAGCATGCCGTTAACATGCTCGTGAACTTTGCTTTTAAATCATTTCCCGGCCGAGCCGCGGCGGAGCACGGAGCCGGCGTTTTGGCATCACCCCTCCACGCACTTGAGGAAAGTTTGTGCAACCCTCCCGGCAGGGCAGGAGCTCCGATGGGCGTCGTGCGCGCCCTGTCCCGCGGCGCTGGCGGTAAGCAGCGGGTCAGGGGGCGCGAGGGGCGGCCGGTGGGCCAGGGCCGCCACCTGCGTGGCCGGGGGGAGCGGGCAGCCCTGCCGGCTACCCTCTGCTCCCGTTTCCCCCTTTATTATGTAACAGAGCCCTCGGCAGCATTAAAAATTCAGCATTACAAGCTGATTGTAATGCTCCCTCATTAGGGAGCACTGTCTGGTCCGGCGCTGAGCAAAAACGGAGTGTGGCTTTTCGGCTGCTGCAGCGGCGGAGGCCGGGGAGCAGCCGGGAGGGGGGCGGCTGCCGAGCGGGGCGTCCCAGGCCCCTGGCAGCAGGATCATGCTGGGCTCCCCGCCGCTGTGCAGCAACAGCCCTGTGGCCAGGCCCAGGGCTCACCAGGCTCCTGCTCTGCCGACAGCTGAAGGCTTTTTCCCTGCACGGCTGCCCGAGCTGCCTCCCGCCCGGTCCCCCTCCGCAGGCAGCCTTGACTGGAACAAAAGCAAAGAAAAGGCACATTAGAGGGGAGAGAAGCTCTCTGTCTGGCCGGAGAAGTTGCTTTGCTGTATTTGTATTTTTTCCCCCC